TTTGTCTTTTTGAGACAGGGCCTCGCTATGCCATTCAGGCTGGCCTTGAGCTCCCTTTGTAGCCCAGGCTGGTGTTAAACTCATAATGATCCTTCTGCCTCAGCCTCCTGAGTGTTGGGATTACAGGCTTGCGCCATCACACCTGGCTAACTCTCTTCTTTTGACTCCCACTGCTAAACAACAGGATTGTCTTCTGCATCCCAGTAGACCATTCCCATCCTAGTTGTCTGACCAATCCCAGCCTTTTTTATAAATTCTGATATAATGTGTGTCCTATGCAATTTAATTTGTAACAGGATTTTTTTAAAATGTCTTTTAGGAATTTCAGATAAACGAGCAGGTCCTTGCTTGCTGGTCTGATTGTCGTTTTTACCCAGCCAAAGTCACTGCTGTTAACAAGGATGGTAAGGCATTTGAGTTGTAGTTGTTTTTACTTGTGACTTAGTGGGGAGTTTGTAATGAGAGTTTAATAGTTTATTGTCAGTACTTATTGCCTAGGAATCCTCTTTATTCAAGTTAATCAGCATGCCAGTAGTTAGGAAGAGATTATAAATGGAAAGAAGACTGAATAAAAAGCAGTTTCTTATTGTTTTCTAAAACAGTCTGTCATTCTGCTGGGAAGTGAACAGGTCCTCTCATTGTCTAGGACAGTGATGGCAAACCTTTTAGAGCTTTCAATGATGTAAACAGCACACCCTGGCACGTGCACCATAGGTTTGCCACCACTAGTCTAGGACTTCCTAATGTACTTGGTGAAATAAGCCTCTATTGTTCCTTTTACTTATTTGCGAATAGCCTGGATATTAAGTGAACACTAGCAAACATATAAAATTTGCTTTGTGTTGCTGGGTGCAGTGATGCACGTCTGTAATCCCAGTATTGAGGGAGACTGAGTCAGGGAGACTACAAGTTTGAATCTTACCTGTGCCACTTAGATTCTGTTTCAAAATAAAAAATAGAGAAGGCTGGGATAGTTCAGTGGGAAAGCCCTGGTTTCAATCCCTAGCACTGGAAAACAACAACAGGCCGGGCGTGGTGGCGCATGTCTGTAATCCCAGCACTCGGGAGGCTGAGGCAGCAGGATCGTTGTGAGTTCGAGACCAGCCTGGGGTATAAAGTGAGCTCAAGGCTAGCCTAAACTGCACAGCGAGACCTTGTCTTAAAAGACCAAACAAGAACAGAATAAAACAACAACAACAGCAAAACCCAAGATTTTTAGATACAAAGTGAGTGAAGGTAGAAATTGAGATGCCAGGACACAAAGCACTAAGTTGAGTTGCCCTTGCCAGCGTTTAGAACATATGAGGAGACCGGACAAGAAACTGGAACCAGAGAGTCTCATTTTGCTGGCACAGTGTAAATGAAGGGTTATGAGGATAATGTGTGATCAGAGTCCTGGCACTTGGTGAACAAATGCTGGGTCTGAGTGATGACTTTAGTCTATTCTACCAGAATGTTTATGATATGGCCTTCATCTTTGGTGTGAATGTTTAGGGCAGTCAGGGCTCTTGATTAGAAGTGACTGAAAAGCTAGATTGAGAAGTTGGGGAGTTTGCTCAGTGGTAGAGTGCTTTAAAAGCATGTCCAAGACCTTGTACAAGGTTTCAGTCTTCAGCACTCAAACAAAACAACCAGAAATCAAGGCAGATTACTTTTTTTTTTTTTTTTGTCTTTTTGAGACAGGGTCTTGCCATGCAGTTCAGGCTGGCCCTGAACTCACTTTGTAACCCAGGCTGGCCTTGAACTTGCAACGATCCTTGTGCCTCAGCTTCCCAAGTGCTGGGATTACAGGCATGCACCACCATGCCTGGCTAGATTACATTTTCATTGACTGAAAATTCTCAAGTATTTGTTCGGTACTGTGCTAAGTGCTGGCCTCAGACTGACCACATTTTGTCTGAGATGGTTTAAATGGCCAAAAATAAAGCCAGGTGTGGCTGGTCATGCCTGTAATCCCAGCACTCTAGGAGCCTGAGGTAGGAGGATCACAAGTACATGCCTACTCTGTGCAATTTAGTGAATTAGAAAGACTGTGTCTGAAAATGGGCTGTAGCTCAGTGCAAAGGTTATGGGTTTATTTCTCAGTACTATAAAATCAAAAACCAAAAAAGGCGCCAGATGTAGTGGTGCATGTCTGTAATCTCAGCACTTGAGAGGCTGAGGCAGCAGAATCATTGCCAGTTCGAAACCAGCCTGGGCTACAGAGTGAGCTCAAGGCCAGCTTGAACTGCATAGTGAGACCTCATCTCAAAAAGATCTTACCTGGGCCACTGAGATCTCTAAAAAAAAACAAAACAAAAAAAAAAAACAAAAAAAAAAAACCAAACAAACAAACAAATCCAAAAAAGGAAAATCTCCAAAGCAAGATTATGTCCCCCAAGTTGTCTGAGCAGTTATTGGTTCTCCAGGTCATGACTGATAAAATCCTTATTTATAGCTTTTTGGTTTTCCCTAAGTTATTTATTATTTTTATTAGCTGTGTTCAAAATGAAATTTGTTATTATTGCTTTCATATGTATCACCTTAATTTAAAAACTTGTTTTTGGAGAAAGCTTACATATTATTGTATATTTTTTTAAGCTGACATATTATTAAACTACTTCAAATCTTTGTTAGTAGCACACATCCTTGGGTGTCAGGAAGAAAAAAAATACTTTGCCTTTTTAGATTTTTTAATAAAACTATTAATGTTTGTGATACATAATAAATATATTCATCATGGTAGATTTTTTTTTCTTATTGATTTTTGAAACATGTGGTCTTTATCTTTATATAAATGTGCTTTTGAAAAATCTGCGCATTGGTTTCTGCTGATACAGTCATGTTCTCTCCCTACATAATATCCATTGGAGGTGTACTCCTTTGGGCAGTGGCTATCCTTTTAGCTCAGACAAAACCTCTGGGTAGTAACAAAAGTAACTCTTCTGATAAGGTAACAGGAGGGAATATTCCTCTTTTGTCCCAGTGCTGTCCTAGAGTTGGGGACAGAAACAGGACAGAGGGCTTGGATTAAGGAATGTCATGGAAGGGTAGATTGAGGCAGAGGGTTTCAGGAACTTTTGGAGCAGTCTCTTAGAAGAGTAGAGGGTATCTTGGTGGAGGAGTGAATCATCTAGTATCTGGGAGAGCTTAGAATCTTGGATCATAGATTGGAAAAAATAAGAAGACCTGGTAGAAGGCATATGAAGTCAGTGCTGAGATGGAGCTAGTGGGTGGAGGCGAGGAAGTAGTGCAGTGGTGTGTATGGGTCCACAGAAGGGGCAGAAGGACACCTGTCTACAGAGTTTTGTGTGAGGGGTGGGTCCAAAATGTTTTGAAATAATTACTTGAGGACTAAAAGTCACTGAGTAGGAATATGTGGCTTAGTGGTAGAGCTCTTGCTTTGCATGCACAAGGCCCTGGGTTTGATTCCCTAGCACTACCAACAACAAAAAAAAGTCACTGACCATATTATTGGCTACATTTAATTAGGGTTTTAAAATATTTGCTACTTATAATTAAACCTAGGGCCTTGTGCATGCTAGCTAAGCACCCTACCATTGAGCTATAGCCCTAGCCTCCTCTTCTTTTCTTTGTAAAGTTTAACAGGGGTCTCCCTAAGTTACCCAGGCTGGCCTGCCTCAAACTTGCATTCCTTCTGCAATCCTTTCAAGTAGCTAGGATTACAGGTGTGCACCACTGTATTTAATTAATTTGATTTCTTCATTTGTTTTGTGCTACTGTGGATTGAGTGTGGGACCTCGGCACTTAACTACATCCTCATCTCTTTTTTTTAATTTTTTGAGACAGAGTCTTGCTGAGTCACTAAATTGCCCTGGGTAGGCTTGAATTTGTGATCCTTTTAGCTTCCCCAAGTGCTGGGATTACAGACCTCTGCCACTATGCTTGGTTCTAGATAGTTTTAAAATGGCTTTTACAGGTGGGCGTGGTGGCACTCGGGAGGCTGAGGCAGGAGGATCGTTGTGAGTTCAAGGCCAGCCTG